TAAAATGCATTCCGAAAATCTCATAAACATCTAATCCATACTCATGAAGGTGATTTTCAAAACTAACGAAACTTTGCTCACACAATCACCAGCCTTAAGAAAGACAATGGCAAACAATAATCACTTTATTAAACCGGCAAAACCAAAAGGTTTTTGGAATGTTCATCACAGACCCGTGACCATATGCAAAACTTCCAAACATCACAAGAAAGACAATCAATCGTAAAAACACCAATAAAAAGTTTTCAAACGTTTCCCAAAGAAGCAGAAGTAACAGTTCCATTCAATGAGAAGATATCTTCAGATTGAGAGATTTATGAAACCAAGCCTTCCAACTTCCAGACCCCTTTCTAGACATTGCTGTAATGGGAGCAGATGATTTTCCACCGTCAATGGAATTCACAGTTTGAGGCTTCTTGCACAGCATGAAATTGCGGACACCAGTAGACCCAATCATCTCCCATGGACTAAGAGCTGCATTGCACAAACATGGAAAAAATGATGTAAGTTCTACAAATTTGAATTAATTATCCAAATCGCCCCAGATCAATAAAACTAATCACCAACACAAAAAATTACGAGAAGACTAAAATTTAGTCATTAAAATAGCCTATGCCATGGATTATGCAGTTCACCTAATGAATCAGAATGTACAACAAAGCAACAAACACCAAATCTGCAGATATCTGATTACCCAAAATACAGAATTAAAATTCATACATAAAACAAGATATTAAAAACAAAATACAAAATTGGCACGATTAAAACTACCTTCAGTTCCAGCAATAGGGCAATATAGAATGAAATTATCGAGATCAGATCCAAGAATCGGGAGCCTGCCCTCGCGGGCATACGATTTCAAAGCAGTATCAATCACAGCAGCCACAAGCTCGTCTTCGTTAACCACGAACCTAATCGGCCCAGCACTACCCAGAACAGTAACGCTAATCAAAAACCTATTTCCCTTCAAGGGCTGATTCTTCTTCTGTTTGAGCAACATCTTTTCTTCTCCGATTTCCCACCCAACGATTTATCTCCACTCAAAAATTCGAAATTAAAGGGAAAAAAAGCAGTCACGAAATTCAAAAGAAAGAAAAACGAGAAAGATCGGAAATCTGCGATCGATGGATTCACGGGTCGAGGCCGAGGCAGCGGTAGTACCAGCCCTCCAGGAACGAGCCGAAGCAGAAAGAGTCGTCGGTCGAGATCGAGATCCCCCTTCTGGAAGAAGAAGAAGGGATGACCATAAATTTCGCGCTCGAGATTTCCACCATTCACAACAGGATTAAGAACGAGCAGGGAAAAGGGGGAATTGCAGGAATAAAATCACAAATCTTGAAAGATGAATAAGAAATTAGGGGGCGATCGATATATTGATATGAATAAAAAGGGGGAGAAAGGGTCGAGGTTTTATAGCTGTGCTGTGTGCTGACTGATGACGGTGGTTATGACGGTGAATTTTGTCATGTGATCTTTTAGTCCATGTCGTATTCGGTCACATTACTACTTTCCCTTTACTACCACGCAATAATATGACATTAAAGGATAAGTTTGAAATAATTGATCGCAATAATATGACATTAAAGGATAAGTTTGAAATAATTGATTGAGCATGATATAATCTTTGTGATTATTTCAAAGACTATCCATCTACTTACTTATATTATTAACTTGTTTGGTTTATATTTAGATTCAGGTTAAAATTGCTCTTTTACCCTCCTTTTCAAATTAAATTTCCAAAACTATTCCAACAATTGAGAAAATGAGTTGGGGAAAATGAAAGTGGTAGTTCCCAATTCTTCAACCGCACCGCAAGTTCTGCACATCTCAAATCCTAAGTTGCCATAAACTTGAAGCAATTTATACATAAAAATTGTTAGAAACAACATCAGATTTACAAATTCTTCCATAAAAGATTGAGCAAAGAAGAAGAAAATGAAAGAAAAAACAAATCTAGGGCTTGATCGGAAAAGACGAGGAGTAACAGGCCGGCGACGATGGCTATCAAGGCGGCGACGGAGTACCGCTTGTTCGAGGCGCCACTTTCCGGTGACGAGGCCCGCCGCATCTGGCTTCAGGATGTCGAGGCCCTCTTCTACTCCGCCGGCGACTTGCTTGACGGAACTCAAAATCCACCAAATTCGAACTAAAGCATCTTGTGTTGCTTCATGAATTTTATTTTTTTTTAAAAGGAGAAGAAGAAAGAAGAAGAAAATAGAAAGAAAAAGAAGCAGAAGAGGAAGGAGGAAGGAGGAAGAAGGAAGGAGGAAGATGGAGGGACGGATGAAAGAGAAAAAAAAAGAAAGAAAATTTTGGGATATTTTGTAACTTTTTAATTTGGCGTATAAGGTATCCCAACATCATTGCAAGATAGCATATAAACAAGTTAAATGACAACTGACCGGGCCATGCTCATTTTCAGGGCCCAAACTAGTTCAACCAAACATAATATTGGTATTGATACAATAACAAACAGTGTGATATCACACCTTATCAGTCCAACCAAACTGACCCTAAGGGTGTAATTGGTCAATAATGTTACGGGCTTGATTAATTGTAATGTCAATTATTATTTATTACATCTATCCACCAAATTAATAGAGCCCATTAAATGGTTTTGTTTTACATTTTTGATACCACACCCATTAATTTATTAGCATGTTTAGTTAGATATTAGCATGTCAAATGAAGGTCTATTGCGCTTCCTTCGTCACAAATTATCGCCGACAAGGAAGACCTATTGCGTGCCTTCGAAGCAAACCAAATTATCAAGATACACGATCTTCATCACATCGTCCCAATACCTCAGCGGTCGTTCGAAAGTAACAACACAAGACCCCGCAAAGACCCAATATATCCCGGGCAGCAGCGTGCACCAACGGACATTTCGTGGAGCCCCATTCGCACCAGGCAACCAGACAGCCACCCATGCGACCCGCAGCGACCCAGCCATGGTCTGGCAGCCCCCATGCGATGTGGTGCAACCGACGACGGTTCGGCGAGGCCCTAGGTGATCCCAGACGTGACTTGGACTTCGAATCGCAACGAGGCAATTGCAATGGGACGAATGACCGCGCGTCGCGACGCGGCAAATTTAAATTTATAATTTTTCCTTAACAAACCTCTACTAAATAGTAGTAGTAAGGGTCGATCCCACGAGGAGTAGAAATTAAATTGTGACAATCTCATATTAATTGAATTAAACTACGAAAGCAGTAAATGGGGGGATTGATTTTATAAAAATAAAAATAAAAATAAGAAAATAAAATAAAAATCTAATAAAATAAGAGAAGTCCAGTTTTCGGTTCAGTTATCACCCAATCTAAATCTACCGTTAATTAATTTCGACGCGTTCTCTAAATTGCCGACGAATTACCAACCCTAGCTAACAACAAGCTCTGTTAACCGAATTTTCCCTTACCGAATATTTAATCGAAATAGGCTCTTCGACTAAACCTAACTAGCGGACAACCTAGAATAAGCTCTCTAGATTTAATTCACTAGCAGCATTAATCTCTAGGAAAATAGATCAATCTAAGCAACGGACGCAAAAGCTCGGACCGTTTAACTTATGTTCACGCTACCCTAGAGATGCACGACCCCTAGTTTACTACTAAAGAAACGAGAACAACAACAATTACGGATTAAAGCCTCGAATCTATCAATTAAATCATGGATATTCAACCTAGCTGGCCAAACTACATCAAACACCATAATTCATAAACACGATACACAGATAACATGAATCAACTCATCGACAAAAATAAATACGGCGTCTAGATTAATCAACGATAAATTTAAATCCTTAAATTCATAGACAAATTCAAGTTAGGGTTCAAACATCCCCTAAAACTGGATAAAAGTCTAGCCTAACATACTAATAAAAATAAATAAAAGATAAAAGAAAGAGAATAAAATCTCCCTCGCGTGCGAGTGCGGCTTCCCTCCGCGTGTGTAGCCTCTTTCCTGGTACGTGAGTATTTTTCTTCTATCTCTATTCGTATCCTCTCGCCAATTCTGTTCACGGCCTTCTTTCGTGTGAGTTACGTGAATAACAAGTCCCCCTCCTTTGGCAATTAAATCCCGTAAAAAATGTATGCTGCGTGTACTAGTCTCCACCCTTAGGGAAAATAATTCCCAAGCAAATATAAGCCCCAGCCAATCAAAACTCTTCCAACATTAATTAGGTGCGGCCCTCAAAATCAATTGTTCCTTTTTAAATCAAATCATCACAAGACAAAAACCATTAAATTGGATCTAGTGGCCCATAAATAATTTTCTTCTTGGGCCTTCATTCAGCATTCATTCGTGGGCCAAATTAACTGGTATTTCCGTCCAATGCCTCGCGTACACAAAATACTTCAATGAGCTGAAAATAAATATAAAAATATCAATGTGTATGGCTCCATCCAAATAATAAATAAGTCGAAAATATAAACGTGCGATTAAATTAAGCGTATAAAAATACACTATTAAATATATAAAACGTGCACATTTTTCGACCTATCAAATCTCCCAAACTTAAACCATTGCTTGTCCCCAAGCAAATTAAAACTGTAAGCACAAAGATGGATATAAACAAGTACGTGGAATATTTGCTCAGGACCTCACAGTTCACATAATGCATAGTTACAACTTCCCAAATTAATAACTCCGGACTCGAAATGAAATCATCCTTAGAACGCCAACAATCAAATATCAATTCAGTTAATTACAGCAGCTCATCAATCTCTTCACCGAGTATACCAATCATGCAACTAACGACATCCCTTTCTTTGCCAGTTTAGTTCCTCTTTGCTTCTAGCCAGAAATCAAAAGTCTCGATTTTTTTTTTTTTTTATTTTTTTGGGAACGGCAGCTCCGTCACAGTCCATGGTATTTAGCTATTCGTGCGAGAGTTATGCACTAAAGCTTCACAGACTGACAGCTGTTATCAACTCCCAACTTTCCATGTCAAGTTACCTCACACAATCGACATCAAGCAGAATAGTCACCAGCACATTTCAAGAATATAAATAGTTCAAGACCAACTCACTACAAATAAAACACATAAATATCAACCGTCATGTCTTTGTCCCTCAAATGACAACACCTCAAGATTTTAACCAGAAATAATCAATCCAAGTCATCATAACTAGCAGATAATTCCAATAGACTCTCAAATCATCATTGCAAAATTCCACATACAAGTAAGCTCATACCCAAACAAATCAAGAGAGTATATATAATAATCCACCACATAAATTTCTCACACTAATACACCTCCCCAAACTTAGAGTTTGAACAAATAAAAGAGCACAAAAAGAGGTAAAAGGAAAGAGTTCACCTTATCCAAGAGAGGAAGTCGCGTCGCACACCATTGGGTTGCCTCCCAACAAGCGCCTTTTTTTAGTATCGTTGGCTCGACTTATTGCTCCGCTTCCTTCAAGCGGTCCATGGCGGCTTCATAGGTGGCCTCAAAGGAGACATAAACCTTGCAGCTCCATGCTTATTAAGGATCCCCTCGTCCGGTGTCGGGTGCTTGACCGGATCTTTTCGTCTAGGTGGTAGTACGTCATAGCAAAAGATTAGCCCGGGATCATGGATAAGAGAAAAAATCTCAGGCACTTCAAGGATGTAAGGCTCTTCATTTTCAACATGCTCGGCTGCTGGTTGTTTGATCTTGGATAAAAGAGATTGATTTTCAGTCATTCTCGGGGCAATTGTCGGAGCTTTTACGTCATTTTCACCTTCAAGTGGGCTGTTATTGGGGGCCCCGATAGCAGTAGTAAATGCTACCAGGTTTTTATCGGGGGGGCCGGTAACAGCGAAAATTTGCTCCTCATCGCCTTCTTCTTCATTCTCTTCGTCGCTTCGATCGTCGTTGGGCTCAGAAACATGATTTTCCAGCACCTCAAGCTCCATCTCTCTACTCATCTCAAGGTCTCCGACATCACTTTGGCTCGAGTCGGCTTGAGATAACAGCCGACTCTTGGCTCGGGCATCCAATTCGCTCAATAGATCACCAATCGTTTTGCTACTAGCCATCAAAGAATTCTGACACTCCTTAAATAACTTCATCAACGATGGACTAGTCTCTTGTTCAAGCGAAGGTTCTGAAAAATATTGTGAGCCTCCATAGTGGAATTGAGATTCATCATGCTCATAAGTAGGCTCATACGGTCGAGAATATCGTGGATTTTCATAGAATGAATTTCCACAATCTCCCCAACTGTAATGGCCCCTATTGAAATTTGAATACGTGCAATCGTCTCGTCGATACCAATCTCTCTCGGTAGCTCTGCGTGCACCATACCTCTCGATCAAAAGTGGACAATCATCGGTGACGTAACGTGCGGTATGACATAGACGACATGGTTTCCTTAGAACTTGACGAACACTCTCAATGGCTTCTTGGATCATAGCCGACATCCTAGCCTCGCGATGTTGGTCTCTTATTTCCCTCCTTTTCATTGCATAATATGATTCGTAAGCATAAGCACAATCTGGGCTCCAATACGTATCCATCTATAACGAATACCACCTGC